GGACAAGGAAGAGAATGCAATGGAGTAAAGGAGGATGCCTAGACCATCCTTGAGCCCAGAGTATAGGGAGGAGAAGGTCAGAGAGTAAAGAAATTGATGAGGGAAAGAGGGTGAGAAAGGAAAATAATGGGAGAGCAGGGTTCAGGGATCTTGGATACATTGGTAGTGTGGGGGAATGGTACAGTTTAGATCCAAACAAGATTCAATAACAATGAAAACATGAGATTCAAACTAAACCACCAAACTAAAATATGCCTGTCAAAGTGGCAGGCTAGTGGGAAAGGAGGGAACTTGGGAACACTGGTGGAGGAAAGTTGACACTGTGGGATTGAACATTGTATGTCTAGAATGCAACTATCATTTTTTAAAATTATGGTTAAATAAAAATATCTGCAACAACAAGTTACTGGGCCCGTTCGAGCAAATCGATGAACAATGGGAGGACAGTGCCACAGTGCCACAGTATAAATATCTAAATAGTATATACATACATAGACATAGGACTGGAGTGATAGCACAGCAGATAGGGCATTTGTCTTGCACGCAGACGACCCGGGTTCAATTCCTCTGTCCCTCTCAGAGAGCCTGGCAAGCTACTGAGAGTGTCCCACTTGCACGGCAGAGCCTGACAAGCTCCCCGTGGCGTATTCAATATGCCAAAAACAGTGACAGCAAGTCTCACAATAGAACGTTACTGGTACCTGCTAGAGCAAATGGATGGACAATGGGAGGACAGTGCTACAGTGCCACATACACATATACACACAAGGCAAGTAATGAGCTTAGTGATATAGCACATGCTTCATATGAAGTCCTGAACTTGATCCTGGCACGTATATAAATAAGTGAAAAAGGGCCTGAGAGATAGGACAGTGGGTAGAGTATTTTTCTTGTACAGGTTGGCCTTCATTCAATTTCCATCAGCACATATAGTTCCCTATGTGTCAGGAGTGTTCCCTGAGCACAAAACCAGGAGTGATCCCTGGGCGTTGCTGGATGTGATCCAGACCTGTGCCTCCACCAAAAGGAAAAATCAAACAAAAAGTACCCCAAAATGACAAATCTAGAGTTCTAAAGAAAAACAGTATTAAATGCAATTGTTATGACCCCCCCAAAAAAAGGAGAAGCAACATGAAAAATATCATGTAAGAAAAAGTTTTAATCAGATAAAAAGAGTGGAGAACTTTATAGAATTATGGGTGATGGAACTAGAATAGCATAAAGGCTTAGAGCACCTGGTTTACAAGTCTATGGTCACAAGTTAAAATCCCTGGTGACCCACATGTGAGAACCAGGATGCTGGCAACTCTGATATGGTTGCTAGCACTGCAAGTATTTTTTACCATGTCATTGTCAGGTATGCGTAATCACCACAAAAAGGGGTGTGACATCGGGTGAGTAGCACATCTAAAAAGATGTATGAGCATCACAGCCAGGAAGTATCCTCCCTGGCAAACACACGTGAGTGCTATCGTGACTGCTGGCAAACATTACCAGTGCTTAAGAACCTCCCCATCCCTGCAACCCATCACCAGCAAGCACAATAAAGAATTTCAAACCTTGGCAGCACTACAACTGAGTGTGCAAGTGCCAAAACTTGATGTGCAACCCCCAACAAGCACTACAGCAACAACAACAACAACAACAAAATTGTGCATACAAAGAACCACAGTCAGGCATGTGTACAAACCAGCATCAATGCTATAATATTACTCAACAAATATAAGGAGATAGGAGGAAGGAAAAAAACCTAGCTGCATTAATTCAGGGAAAAAATGATCTCCAGATACATAATAGCAAAGTTTTCAAAAGTAGAAAGCCTGAGTGCAACCACCGTAGAAATGAAAATGTTGGTAAAGGAACATACACTACAATTCACACCTTCCCCCAAAATACCAAGCCCACTTGCTTTTAGCCTTTCAAGAATAATTCCCACAGTATGAAAACTTTCAGAGAAAGAAAACATCCTAAATGTATTTTTGCAAAGACAGCAAAACTTTAGAAATTTCATTTTTGTGTCACACTTAACAAAAATGAGCACAAGCAAGTGGATTTTATTCAGTTCAAGCTCAAATAACTTCAATCACTTGAAAAATTGTCAATAAAATAAATTACAAATAAAACATTTCACCCAGAAAGTCACACCAATATATTTTTCTTAAAAAGATACCTAATAAAAACTCTAGGTATAATAATAATTGCTATGGTGTGTTACACTTCTTAACTAATTTTATTCTCATAAGTCCCAAAAGGTAGTTCCTCTACATAGACAGAAAAACACAGATACAAGGAAACTGAGTAACTAGCTCAGATTCACACAATGAAGATAATTCTGGTATAAAACTTAAAGCACCTAAAGGGGAAAGCACAAAAATCTATGCTCTTAACCACTTGTAGCACTGTAGCACTGTCCTCCTGTAGTTCATCGATTTGCTAGAGCGGGCATCAGTAACGTCTCCATTGTAAGACTTGTTACTGTTTTTGGCATATCAAATGCATCACGGTTAGCTTGCCAGGCTTTGCCGTGCAGGCAAGATACTCTCGGTAGCTTGCCGGGCTCTCCGAGAGGGGTGGAGGAATCAAACCCAGGTCGTCCCAGTCAGCCGCATGTAAGGCAAAAGCCTCACCTGCTGTGCTATAAATCCAGCCCAACCACTTGTAATAATATTAATTTTACCCTTGTGAAAAATAGAAAACGGTCTAAATACACGATCAGAAACCAATGATGAGACTCACAGAAATACATGTAAAAGTTATCAATGAGATCTTTGTGAAATCCTATGATAGGATGCTACTTTCATAAACTTCTAATCTGGAGGTTGTTGGGCATTGGCAAGGATTATGTCCAATTTAACAATGGCTCATTTAAATTATTTTTGAAACATTCAAAAATAAGAATAGGGGCTGGAGCGATAGCACAGTGGGTAGGGCATTTGCCTTGCATGCGGGCCGACCCAGGTTTGAATCCCAGCATCCCATATGGTCCCCTGAGTACCGCCAGGAGTAATTCCTGAGTGCAGAGCCAGGAGTAACTCCTGAGCATCGCCAGGTGTGACTCAAAAAGCAATAAATAAATAAATGAATAAAAATTTAAAAATAAAAATAAGAATATAAAAATTTACAATATCTAGGTAAAAATAAATACATACCATACTCCAATAAGCTTACGTCTTGGTATGAAAGTATACACATAAAGATTAAAAAGTTCCACAACACTGAAACTAAAAACATCTTTAAGGATGAAACAGCACTGACCATGCAAGTGGAAGCAAACACAAACAAATGGGACTACATCAAACTAAGAAGCTTCTGCATTTAAAAAGAAACAGTGACAAAAATACAGAAAGAGCCTACAGAAAGGGAAAGAATATTTACCCAATACCCATCTGATAAGGGATTAATATCCAGGATATACAAGACACCAGTAGAATTGCACAAGAAAAAAACTCCAACCCCATCAAAAATGGGGAGAAGAAATGAACAGGAGTTTCCTCAAAAAAGAAATACAAATGGCCAAAAGGCACTTGAAAAAATGCTCCACATCGCTAGTCATCAGGGAGATGCAAATCAAAACAACAATGAGATATCATTTCACACGACAGAGACTGGCACACATTCAGAAGAACAAAAGCAACCAGTGCTGGCATGGATGGGGGAAAAGGGACACTCAGCTGTTGGTGGGGATGCCCACTAGTTCAGCCTTTCTGGAAAACAAAATGGACAGTCCTTCAAAAACTAGAAATTGAGCTTCCATATGACCCCGCAATACAACTTCTGGGAATATATCCCAAGGATGCAAAAAAGACAAATGTAATGCCTGTAAACAAATAAATTGTTAAATAACCCATGGAGTATCATCCATATCATGGAATACTGTCCATCAATAAAAATAAACGAATTTTTAAAAAGATTTAAAAAGTATACATGTAAAGATTAAACTGAGAATGTTACAAGGAAATTTAACGACAGCTTTATATTGCAGCACCAGCTGTCTCAAAGCACCATGGGTCAACTGACTAGAAGCTAAAGAATGAAGAAGTTTAAGAGAGAACATTTACTTCTTTCAGAGATTATATTTCTGGAAGTTTCTGAAGGAAAAAGATCAGTATATAGGGAAAGAAGAAAAGGTCTTGTTACTCATTATACAAGTCCTGGGGTCTATGTCAGGGGTAAAGGTAAAGGCCCTCCCATTGTTCATCGATTTGCTCGAGCGGGCCCAGTAATGTCTCCATTGGAGATTTTGTTGTTACTGTGTTTGGCATAAATCGAATACATCACAGGGAGCTTGCCAGGCTCTGCCGTGTGGACGAGATACTCTCGGTAGCTTGCTGGGCTCTCCGAGAGGGGTGGAGGAATCGAACTTGGGTCGGCCATATTGGCTGCGTGCAAGGCAAACGCCCTACCGCTGTGCTATCGCTCCAGCCCTATATCAGGGGAAGTGATTTAAAAAGCAGATAAGGAGAGTAATATCCAAGAAAAAAGCATAATTAGTCTTAGAAGGTGAAACGTAGAAGGTGAAATGGAGATTGAACATATTAAAAAAAGATCATATCACTCTTTGAGAAGCACCCAATCTGATTATGGACAAATAAATATGAGAGTTTGGCAGCAAAAATAAAAGGGGAGAAATAGTACAGCGGGTATGGTATTTGCTTAGCACTAGTCCACCAGGATTTGATCCCTGGCACCAATTTTGGTCCCCTCAGTACCAACATTAGTAAGTCCTGAGTACAGAGCCAGGAGTAACCCCTGGTCATTGATGGGTGTGCTCCACCCCCAAAGGGGGAAGATGGAAACTTAATAGTAAATATAATACTAAATTCTTACTTTCACAAAACTGGGATGGAATATTACTCCTATTCTCCCACTTTCTGACTTAGCAAAGAGCATTCAGATAACAATTCACTTCTTAGTGGTCCCAAGAGACCAGGAAGAGCATACTTTCTACAAAAGAAATTAATTCAAATTTACTTTCTCTCATTGGTACAGAAAACCGCACTTTAAGAGGCCCATTGAGATAGCCCTGGCTGCTTCTCTCCTGTGTGAGTTTGCTGGTGGTGATTGAAAGTGGAATGCTGGCTGAAGGCTTTCCCACACTTCGTGCATTCATAAGATTTCTTTCCAGTGTGCACTCTCTGGTGCACAATGAGTTGTGAGCTGTCACTAAAGGCTTTCCCACAATCCTTGCATTTATAAGGTCTCTCTCCAGTATGGGTTCTCAGATGGACCATAAGACTGGAGCTATAACTGAAAACCTTCCCACACTATTACACTCATAAGGTTTCTCATCAGTGTGAATTCTCTGGTGTATAATGAGGTGTGAATTTTGATTGAAGGATTTCGCACACTCATTGCATTGATAGGGTTTTTCACCAGTGTGAAGTCTTTGCTCAAGTGGGCATTGTAAGACTTGTTACTATTTTTGGCATATCAAATACATCACAGTGAGCTTGCCAGGCTTTGCTGTGATGGCAGAATACTCTCAGAAGCTTGCCGGGCTCTCCGAGAAGGGCGGAGGAATCAAACCCAGATCGGCTGCGTGCAAGGCAAACACCCTACCTGGAGCGATAGCACAGTGGGTAGGGCATTTGCCTTGCATGCGGCCAACCTGGCCGACCGGAGTTCGATTCCTCCACTCCTATTGGAAACCCTGGCAAGCTACCAAGAGTATCTTGCCCTCACGGCAAAGCCTGTGATATATTCGTTATGCCAAACACAGTAACAAGTCTCACAATGCAGACGTTACTGGGCCTGCTCAAGTAAATCGATGAACAATGGGAGGACAGTGCTACAGTGAAGTCTCTGATGACGAATAAGACATTTACTTAGACTGAATGTCTTACCACACTCATTACATTCAAAAGGCTTTTCTTCAGTATGAATTTGCTCATAGTTCAGCTAGTTGAGAATTATGGTGGAAGGCTTTCCCACACTTGCTACATCTGTATGGTTTTCCCCCAGAGTGGAGGATCTGATGTTGAGTAAGACACTTACTCTGACTGAAGGTCCTGCCACATTCTTGGCACTCATAAGGTTTCTCTCCAATGTGGATTCTCTGGTGGTCAACTAGATTTCTCTTGGAACAGAAAGCTTTGTCACAATCAGCACATTTGTCGGACGTCCTACCAGTGAGAAGGATTTGGTGTCGGACAGACTTTTACTCCGAATGAAGGTCTCCTAACACTCATTGCATTCATAGGATTTCTTCCCTGTATGGGTTCTTTGGTGGTCTGTGAGTGGGGAACTCTGAGTAAAGGGCTTTCCACATTCATTACATTTATATGATTTCTCCCCATTATGGAGTCTCTGGTGTTGAATGAGATGGGAGCTGTGCCAGTACATCTTCCCACACGCTCTGAATTCATAGGGCTTTTCCCCTGTGTGAGGTCTGAGTTGAACTATGAGCTGAGAGGTCTGCCAGAAGGTCTTACCACATTCAGTGCATTCATAATACTTCTCTCCAGTGTGAATTCTTCGATAGCAAATGAGGTCTAAAATCCTATTGGAAGTTTTGCCACATTCATCACACCTATAGAATTTCTGTCCCTTTAGAACCCCCGATGCTGTGTGGTACTGAAGGAATGACGAGGATGCTCAAGATGTTTATATTCATTACTTCTGTGTTCTGTGAATTCTTTTTTATCTTCATTTGTTACATCTGAGAAATCATGCTTCAGTGTGTTCTCTTCCTCACCTGAGGATTTGTCTGTTAGTTTCTCAAGAGTATCCTCACAGGAATTCACTCGGGATGCAAGATGTGTGCTGAAAGTAGACTATAGACCGAACACAATGGCCACTCAATACCTCTATTGCAAACCACAACACCCTAAAGGAAAGAGAAAGCAAAAGGGAATGCCCTGCCACAAAGGCAGGGGGGGGGGCGGGGGGGGGCTTGTGGGCTACTGGGATCGTTGGTGGTGGAGAATAGGCACTTGTGGAGGGATGGGTACTCGATCATTGTATAACTGAAACCCAAGCATGAAAGTTTGTAAGTCTACAACTGTACCTCATGGTGTTTCACTAAAAAAAAAAGAGTATCCTCACAGGCACCTCTGAACTCTGACCCACCAGGAACTATGACATAGAGTTTTTCTGGTGTTGTACGTGGTAACACCAAACCCTGCTTGCAGGGATACTCAGGATTAACCCTCCTATTCTCACTTGCAGCTGTTGAAAAAACTTAAACAGTAAGAATGCTACTTTATTTAAAATGCTACCATGAGGTTTTCCCCCATCATCATGCTGTATGGTTCCATGGTCTCACAAAAGCTGAGAAAGCAGAGGAGAGATTAAAAAAAAACTCAATTATCAGGAATGGTGTAAATATACCACCAGAATTTGAAAGCTCCTATCCAGATTCCACTGCTCGGTTAACCTTCATCCAGAAATGTATCTGTTGAAATACTCAGGTATGCGGGTTTTGTGACTTAAATCTCCAGATTTTAACAGAGTTGGGAATGTGCTGCCTCCCTCATCTCCCTGTACTTTCTGAAGCCCCAGAAGTCATGCACATGCCCCACCCAGTTAAAAATTTAACTCCAGATCAAAATTTTTGGATTCCCTGGAGCATGTGGCCCCAAATCTCAAACTCTACAACACTGATAAACAAGGAGTAGCACACCATATTGATTGGGAAGTAATGAATAAGGCAACCAATCTTGATTAACAAAATATAAACTTATAATAACAGCTTAGTAATCTCTTATATAAGGGCTTAATGGCTCCACAATGAGATACAACTATCTTTACTAACTTTTTTAAAGGAAACATTTTTGATCATCCTTTTAGCAAATTATTTATAATAAGCAATATAAAATAAATTATTGAGGGTCTGCTGTAGGGGTGGTTGGGAAAATTGGAAATAATGGTGGTGGGAAGGTGCAATGGTGGTGAGATTGATGTTGGAATATTTAATGTCTGAAACAAATCATCATGAGCAAATTTGTAAACCACAGTGTTTATATAAAGGATAAGAGGGAAATAAAGTACTGGAGTGATAGCACAGCGGGTAGGGCGTTGCACATGGCTGACCCAGGTTTGATTCCCAGCATCCCTTATGGTCCCCTGGGCACCACCAGGAGTAATTCATGAGTGCAAATATAGGAGTAACCCCTGTGCATCGCTGGGTATGACCCAAAAAGAAAAAAAGAGGAAAATAAAATTCAAAATTAAAAACAAAGAATTTAAAAGATGAGCTGGAGACATAGTACAGTAGATGGGTGCCTGCCTTGCATGCAGGCAAAACAAAACAATTTAAAAGATATAATATGAAGGTATTATTAGGAAACTTCTTTTCTTTTCTTTTTTTAAATGGTTTTTGGGCCACACTTGATGGTTCATTTCTGGCAGGCTCAGGGGACCATATGGAATGCTAGTAATCACACCTGGGTTGGCTATGTTCAAAGCACTAACCACCATTTAAAAGATGAGCTGGAGACATAGACATATTACTCTGGCTCCAAGTACTAGGAAAAATTTTAAGAAAAAGAAGGGATTCTGATATGACATAACAGTAACAAGACTTAGAGAGGTGGTGGATTAAGAAAAACTCTGGAAGGACTAAAGAAAGAGTATAGGAAGGAAGGAAGGAGGTTGCTTGCCTTACAGTCAGGAAACCTGGTTCTGCCCCTGGCACTGCATACTGGTCCCCTCAATACTGCAGAGTGTAAACTCCCAACACTAGGGAAAAGCATTTAATTAGAGAGCAGAGTTACCCAACTCCACTATCAAAATCATGTTCAAAGAGAGCACTTAAAGGCTGAGTTCCCCTTGAATTCTCTTTAATTCTCAACTTGAAGAAAAAGTATGGAGGAAGTTACAAATAGAAACTTATGATGAAATGATAAAAATAAAAGAGCTGAGTCATGAAATATTACAATAATAGGTAGTGGGAGGAAATAGATAGTCTAGAAAAAATGAGGTTTGCTTCTTTTTAAGCCAGTGTTCTCTTTTTTTTTCTTTTTGGGCCACTCCCAGCGATGCTCAGGGGTTACTTCTGGCTCTGCACTCAGAAATTACTCCTGGCGGTGCTGGGGGAACCATATGGAATGCCAGGGATCGAACCCGGGTTTGCCATGTGCAAGGCAAATGCCCTACCTGCTGTACTATCGTTCCTGCCCCAAGCCAGTGTTCTTTAGATCATCTCTTTCTCTTTTTCTCTCACTCCTCCCCCCCAAATCTCTCTAAAATTTTTTCAGTTAAAAACATTTTGCTTAAAAAGAACAGAGGCCAGAAGACTCAGAATGAATAGAGTAGGAGGCATGTGAAGAGAAGCAGAGAAAGACTAGACAGCGGCTCTTTAAGTTGACATATTTGCTTTTGTTGCCAAGACTTCTGAGCTTCCTTGAATCTAGGCTTAGTTTCCACTGGGCCCTCTTTCTTGAAGTCTGTCTGGAAAGTTCTGGGTTTCCATTCCTATAGTCTCATTATAGAAAAAATTTAAAATAACAGAATGGCCCTACTTCTTTGAACTACAAATTCTAGGCAAACCATTCTAGGTCAGTCAAAGAAGAAGGAAGAATACTGTTGTCAAAGATGGGTGAGGGGTGTTTATTATCTTATTCCCTATTTTGTCAATACTGATGATCTTTCAGAGTGTAACATTTGAAAAGAATACAACATAGAGTACTAGGGATGTGGTTTGAGTGGTAGAGGAGATGTTTTAGGTGTGTGAGGCCTTGGGTTTGAGCCCCAGCACTGCATGGTCCCCAGCACTGCTGGGTGCAGCCCCCACAATTAAAATTAAATTAAAAAATACAGTGAAGAAATGTGAAGTATGCAGATTCCGTATCAGCGAGAAACAGGGTTATTACCCAGTGTGGCCATGCCTGGGTCACTTCCTGGCAGGCTGCTCCCGTGCAGGGCTTTCTGACAGCATGCCGGACCCTTCCACTTCTGAGGAGAATCTGAAGACAGGAGTGTGCATGCAGCAGACTCCTGCAATGAAAAGCTTCCACTGTTCAGGGACATTCCTGGCTGAAGTCCAGAGTCCTCAGGGGTACCCAGGAAAGGGTTACAGATGGAGGGGGTAAGGGCAGAGGCTGGGCTGAGAGATCTAGAAGAAAAAAGGCAGGGCAGAAGAGAGTCCGTGACCTAGAGCCAGGGCATGCGATTAGGCAGGAAAACCATAGAGGTTTCCCCATGGCACAGGCGGGACCTGGGCCAGTCCTCCGCACTCAGGAGACACAGAGAGAACCACACTCACCTGAGGCCTGACTGTCGGAAGCACAGTGGCTGCTGCTTGGTTTCCTAAGTCTTCTGGGGACACACCTTGCAGGAGGAAGACAGGCAGTGAGTGCGGCAAGCCCTGTCCCGGTGTGTCTCGCCCATGTCTGGACATGGGAAAACCCAGACAGCTCCATATGGACTCTCACTCCTATTCACACAGGCAATAAGTGTTCTGTGACCTTCTCCTGAGAGAAATTTGAAGCTGAAATGGAGTGAATGCTCCTCCTCCTAGCCTGCAGCCCTATAATCTCTTTCCAGAAAACCACACTTGGGATGACATGTCTTCACCCCTGGCATTCCTAGAACCGCCCGTATTTTCTTTTTTCTTTTTTTGGCGGGGGGGAGTTCGGGAGGACCCCTCACTGGGAAATGCTCAAGGATTATTTTGGCAATGGGCTCAGGAATTATCTCCAGCAGCACTCTGGTGACCATATGGGATTCTGGGAATTGAACCCGGGTTGGCCACGTGCAAGGCAAATAACCAACACGCTGTGCTATCTCTCTACCCCTCCATAACATTTTCAGTTTAAAAAGTCATATCCTTACCATTCTCTTTTCTGATTTTCCTGGATCTGCCCATGATTCCAAACACTATTACCCTCAACTTCTCCTTCGTTCTAGTTTCATGGATTTCTCTTTCACAATATGTCACGTCTAATACTTTCCACTTCACTCAAACCTGTTCAGGCAATTAGCACCTCTTGTCTATTCTTTGACACTAGTCTCCTACCAAGCTTCAGCCTGACAGTATCTGCATTCAGTTCACAGTGCTCACATGTGTCACATTAATTCCTTGAAATTTCTAACAAATCAGCTGTTACCTGCTTCCCTCTCCAATCTTCCCAATCTTGTTCAATGGTAAGACCCTGTATAAGCAGACTCTAGAGCACCCCAAAACATTTTTCTAGTTTTCTTTGATTCTCCCTCACTGAGGTTCAAGAACTCCCATTTAGTTGATTTGTTTAAATCCTTTGCTACACTGCTTAGTACTGTAGCTTAGGCACTTTTTTTTTTTGCTTTTTTTGGGGGATCACAACCAGTGATGCTCAGGGGTTACTCCTGGCTCTGCACTCAGGAGTTACTCCTGGAGGTGCTTGGGGAACCATATGGGATGCTGGGACTTGAACCCTGGGTCGGCTGTGTGCAAGGCAAACGCCCTACCCACTGTACTATCACTCCAGTCTCTGCTTAGTACTTTTCTCTACCTTTAAACATTCCTCCTCATTTTTCATAGTCTAATCTTACTAGGCAGAGTCTCCTACCCTGTGCCTGACTATCCTCGCCAGGGCCCAACAGCTGAAGACCTCCAGGCCCCAGCCAAGGCCATACTGGGGCCACTCTCCACACACTTGGATAAGCCTCAGGCATAACAGAACTGGCAGAGGAACCCAGGTGTGTGGGACCCGGGGCTGAGATCTCCAAGCCTGCACGGTTTGGGACTGGACCTGTCAGTAGCTAGACAGTTACACCCTCCAACTGCCGTGTAACCCCAACAACCCCAGAGATTATCACAACAAGCTCCTGGGAGTTTTTATTTATTTACTTTTCTCTAAAGTTTTCAGGGTACCTTTAAATATCCCACCCACACGGCAGAGCCTGGCAAGCTATCCATGGTCTATGCCAAGTAGACCAAATTGATATGCCAAATCCAGTAATAAATGGATCTCATTCCCCTAACCCTGAATACGGCAGAGTCGAGAAGGATATGGAAGGAGAGGCTGATAAAATACCAAGGCAGAAATAGGCTGCCAAAACGAAGAAAAACAAAAATGATTGTCTGTACTTTAAATGCTTGTACACTGGCATCTGCTGCATCCATTGAAGACCTTATGGTACAAGCGCGAAAGATCAAGTACGACATCATTGGTCTGACCGAAACGAGAAGACATCAATCACATCATGCCGTTTTCGACACTGGAGAAGAACTGTTCCTTGGAACATGTGATAGAAGAGGCATCGGTGGTGTCGGTATCCTTGCCAACACAAACTTAGCCACGAGCATTGATTCATTCGAATGCCTAACAACCCGAATCGGACGATTACACTTGAATAGTTGTGGCTCACTACCGGCAGTTTCTATCTTTGTTGTCTATGCACCAACATCCAGTTATGGTGAAAGAGAAACTGAGAAGTTCTACATGGAGCTGGAGAAGTTCTTTAAAGAAGATCACACCTTCTACAAGATCATTGTCGGTGATTTTAATGCCAAGATAGGACCAAGAAGATCAGTCGATAAACTCCACATCAGGACCCATGGCCTAGAATGGAACAAACAGGGTGACAGACTGTCTGAGTTCATCATGTCAACCAAAACCTTCCATGGTAACTCACAGTTCCAAAAGGCTGAATCTAAACGTTGGACATGGGAGTCTCCCGATGGACGGTTCCACAATGAAATAGACCATGTCATATTCAATCGGCAGTTTTGCCTAACCGATGTTACTGTGTCCCAAAATTCCAAACGGGATCAGACCACCGTCTTCTTCATGCAAAATTCTACCACAGAACGAGGAGAAAAGAATGCAAGGTTTAAGAAGAGGACTCCCAGAACGACCACCAACTGGGAGCTCTTTGGCTCTGTTGCAGCAACATGGGAAGATGCCATCATTGACAACATTGATGAGGAATACGATCGAATGATTCAGCACCTCCATGATTGTGCGAGGAATGCCAAGAGAGAGATAACCACAAAAAAAAATGCCTTTCTTCGAACACTCTTGAACTTATTTGCCAACATGGCTTGGCACATGCCTCAGGCAACCACAAGCGAACATCCGAACTGGCAAAACAGTGCAGAGAAGCCATCAAGGATGACCTCAAAAACAGGAGAGCAGCAGTACTGGTAGATGCGTCAGAAGCTGGGAAAAGCATTCATAATGCCCGCCTGTCCTTCACCAACTACAAAACCAAGATGACTGCCCTCCGACATCATGATGGGTCTCTCACATCTTCCAGAAGGGCAATGGAGAAGATTATTCATGACTTCTACTCAGATCTCTTTAATAGCCATGTCCACTTGCCCACATACCACATACCACATGATGGATATGTCGTTCCCAATGTTCTCCCTTCCGAAATCCAACATGCCATCTCGTCGGTAAAGAAACAAAGAGCACCTGGCCCAGACAAGATCAGACCTGAACACCTGAAGAACTTACCATCAGTACTCATCAATACATTGGCTCGGCTCTTCACACGCTACCTGTCTGAATGCAAGGTTCCTTCCCAATGGAAAACCAGCAGGACTGTACTACTATACAAGAAGGGAGACATCTACGACATTGGCAACTATCGCCCAATCGGCCTATTGTCTGTCATCTACAAACTGTTCACTCAAGTCATCCTGAATAGGATTAGCAGAACACTAGATGAAGGACAACTATGTGAACAAGCCAGATTCCGAAAAGGATTCAGTACCATCGACCATATCCACATGATTACTAAGCTCATTGAGGTTTCTCGGGAGTTCAAGATGCTGCTCTGTCTAACATTCATTGATTTAAAGAAGGCCTTTGATTCTGTTGAGACAGAGCGGTCATGGAAGCCCTAGCCAATCAGGGCATACAAACTCAATACATCAGGATCCTTCGTGAGCTCTATTGCGGATTCACTACCAAGATCTCACCATCCTACAAAGAAGTAATCATCCATATCAAGAGAGGGGTTCGGCAGGGTGATACCATTTCACCAAAACTCTTCAGTGCCACCCTCGAGAACATCATGTGACGACTAGAATGGGAAAGCATGGGAGTGAAGATAGATGGTCGGCAACTACACCACCTCCGCTTTGCTGATGACATCGTTCTAATAACACCAAACATCAGCCAAGCGGCACAAATGCTGAACGACTTTGACCGTGAATGTGGAAAAGTCGGACTACAGCTGAATCTTACGAAGACAATGTTTATGAGAAACAGCCTTGTTCCTGACGCTCCATTCACTCTCAATGGAACCACCATCTCCAAATGCAACAGTTATATATACCTAGGTCGAGAAATCAACATGATGAATGACCTGGCACCTGAGTTGTGCAGGAGGAAGAGAGCGGCTTGGAATGCCTACAAGAGCGTTGAAGAAATAACTAAAAGGACAAATAACCTCCAGCTAAGAGTACATCTCTTTGATTCCACTATTCTTCCTGCATTAACATATGCCTCAGAGACCTGGACCCTACGAAAACAGGATGAGAATGCTATTCGGGTCTCTCAAAGAGGAATCGAAAGAGCTATGCTTGGAATATCATGATTCACTCAAATGAGAGATAGAATCCGGAGTTCTGATCTTCGTCAACGCTCAAGAATCAGGGACGCTGTCTCATTTGCCAAGACATCAAAAATCAGATGGGCTGGACACATAATGAGGTTTACAGACAACTGCTGGACTAGAGCCATTACTGATTGGATTCCACGGGACATCAAAAGATCACGTGGACGCCCACCTACAAGATGGTTAGACTTCTTCGTCAAGACCCTGAATGATCGGTTTGAGGCTCTGCATGTTCCTAGAACGAACAGATACCATTGGGCTACGCTAGCATGCAACCGGGATGAATGGAGATGTTACTGGCACCAGCTCGAGTAAATCGATGAATAACGGGGATTAAGTGATTAAGTGAAGTGATTAATCTCACTATCTCCACCAGGTAGCATTCTCCACCCACTCCCGAACATAAGACCTCTCTGTTTATATATTACATTACTAATTTGTGATAGCATCGAGTGCCTGAGCATGGGTATCATTCCAATGGATGCTATGAAGTTACCTTTCCTTACAATTATGACTGACTTCAAATATTAGAAAGCAAGCTTTTACAATGTAGTAGAGAATATTAGATCATTCACATTCAACAGTATCTTTCCCAGAAGATGGATTTGAGAAATACACTATTAGAGATAAAGCAAAAAGAGATAGACACTAGAGGGTAGATCAGTGAGGGATTCTAATACAGTGGGGATGGGAAGATGAGGAAACTCCAGGAAAGAGAAAGGAGGCATGACTTGAGGCCAGAACAGGAAATGTAAGTACCTGACTACCCATTGGGGAAGTGGTATGTTGCTGGGTCACACTGGGTTCCAGGGAATAAAGCCTAACTGAGGGGTGAACTAGGAGAAGACTCCTTAGTTGCACCCAGATCTTTCATCTCCTCTGAATGTATTTCTTGTTCCTGTGCTGGAGCTAAAACCTACAGTGAGGGAAATACAATTGGGTTCAAAAGAGCATCTATAAAGGTACAGAACCCAAGCCTGCAAAGAAATACCCCTTAGAAAGAAAGCAAAAGAAAAGAACAAAGTGTTCTTTTAGACCCACTAGTATTAGAGGAAGACTGTCAAAGCAGAATCTATAGCTTGGCAGATCATTCTGCATGTTTCCCAGACACAAATATTGAAGATCATCTAATAAAAAAAAGGATTCAGGAGACCAATTTAGTACACTTTCTACAAACTCAGCATATAGGAAACACCAATGAGAATATCAAGGAAACACAATAGACATAAATGTTTTAAAGACAATAACTTTATCTTGATCATTACAATGCACTAGAGCGAATATTTGGCCCAGTTTCAGTATTGTTAAATCAATACTTTTTAGGCACCTTTCTTTCAGTATTTCCTAAGAAATGTGGAGGGTTATCTGCTAACCTATTTTTCAATATATGTTATTCCTCCCTAATACTTTATATAAGGAACTCAAATACAATTAGATTACTGGTCTAGGGAGATAGTTCAAAGGGTTAAATGGAATGTTTTGCATGCTGGAGGCCTGGGTTCAACCCATGGCACTGCGTGGTTCCCTGAGAACTGCCAAGGACTTGAAGCACTGTGTCAGGAGTAGCATATTAGAAACTCTTGGATGTGGCCAAAACATATTAAAAAGTAAAAAGGATAGACTAGAGCATACCAATCTCTCTCTCCCTCTCTCTCTGTGTTTCTCTCTATATTCTGGTACTAGGAATTGAACTCAGTGTCTCATACATGCAAGTCATGTGCTGTCCCATAGAGCCATATCCCTGTTCTTGAAAATACTAATCTTTAGCAACCAAGAATATCTCTGAGTACAGACCTGATATTCCCAATCCTTGATGTTATCAAACCAGCTCCTAAAAATATCATGGTTACTAATTTTTAAAACAATATTTAGGGGAGAAAACACTGTCTAAAAATAACATTTATAAACTCACTCTGGCATGTCCATGCTACAACAGATGGCAAAATTAACTTCAACATGCTATGCTGGACTTGCACTATTGAGTTATGTCTGCCATGAGAGGTACTCCTTACTGTGTATCCCTCCTCTATGGTGGTAGAACCAAAAAACTCCCTACGGCTTTGATTTTCAGGCTCTCAATTCAATGGTTCTTTTTGGGGGGGGCGGGGTGGGAACATCCAGCTGGTACTCAGGCCTTATTCTTAGCTCTGCACTCAGGAATCACTCGAAGCAGGGTTCGTGGGATCATAGGGGATACCAGAAATCAAACTCAGGTCAGTTGTGTGCAAAGCAAGAGCCCTACCCACTATACTATTGCTCTGCTCCCTGAATTGGATGGTTCTTATAAATGGACCTGAAATACAGCAGGTGTGGAAACTAGCAGAAGACAGAACTTAACTGCATTATGACAGCACAAATTTCTCATTTATCAACTGTTAAACCCTGACACAGTTCTTGCTAGTTATTGGGGCTGCCTACTCACTTATTTTTCTTACAGACATGAAAATTCATTCTAATTTTGATTTTAGATGGAATGCCATAGCAAGACTCTAAAAGGAAAGTGCTGGCTTAGAATGCAGGGAGCTGGAAAATTTTACTCTACATTTAGTGGTAATCAGCAATAACTAGATATTCAATCAGTAGTTTTCACCTTTTTGCATCTGCAGAGTAGTGAAGACAGGACAAATATTTTGAGATTCATTATAGCAGAAATAAAAAACATTATAAGAACAGTTTGTTAGTTTCTAATCCACTGTATGATCCAGTCTTGCCATGAATCATAACTATCACTTTTTTCTGGGGCTTCATAGATAAAATACTGATTTTATTTATTTGTTAATTGTTTGGGGGCCACACCTGGTGGTGCTCAGGGGTTACTCCTGACTCTGCACTCAGGATTCACTCTGGTGGTACTAAGGGGACCATATGGGATGTCAGGGATCAAACCTGGGTTGGCCTAATGAAAGACAAGTGGCTTACCTGCTGTACCATCATTCTGGCCTCAAAATACTAAATTTTAATGGAGGATACATTCTCATGCTGAGGCAAAATATGTAGAAAAATGGAAAAATTCTCTCCCTTTCTCCTCACACAATAACATTCTAAACCTTTTTTCTGCTACTTATCCTTGTCCAGTTACTTCCCAAAATTGCTTCTGTGGGGTATATAATCATCTTTCTAAAAAAACATTGAAAAAAATGACATGCTGGGTACCGGTAAATTTTAGATTAATCACCTTTCAAAACAGTAAAAGTAGACTAGGACATGCTAAAATCCTGTTGTCTCAGTTACCAGAGAGACTTACCAGGAGAATCCATGGGATGGTCTTCTGATGTATCCATTTATCACTCATTTACATTATTTTGACAGTAGCATAGCGGTAGGGCGTTCGCCTTACAAGCGGCCAACATGGCCGACCCGAGTTCGATTCCTCTGCCCCTCTCAGAGAGCCCGGCAAGCTACCGAGAGTATTCGATACGCCAGACACAGTAACAACAAAGTCTCCAATGGAGACATTACTGGGCCCACTCGAGCAATTTGACGATCAACGGGAGGGCCTTTACCTTTACCTTTACCTTATTCTCTACATACAATTAAATCTATTATCAATTCACCTTAAATCATGGAGATTATGATAGATAATCTGAACTGGCCTGATTAAAACAGTTGTGAGATCTTAGTATCAGAGCTAAGACTTCCACCAAGAAGAAAATCTGCCTATAGACAACAGCTTCAGCTCATTCCTGAGTTCTAGCCTTCCCTTCCTGAGAGCCTGCCCTACAGATTTCAGACTTACAATCTAATATAAGCTACTTTCTGGCAACAATACAAATATGGATACAAAATGTATGCCTGTGTACATGAATGCGTGCACACTTGGACGGGTATATGTATGTGTATATGTACAGACATGCTATATGTATATGTATATATGTATATGTATATGTATATGTATATGTATATGTGTATGTATATGTCTGTAACCTTATACTTCTCTTGTCACTGAACTTGGTAGCAATGTGGTCTAAAAGTCAGATTCCCCACTGTATCATACTGCTGACTCTCTCAAACTTTTCTACAAATTCAACTTACTTTGGTTTTACATTCGAGAGAACCTCAGAAAAGATAAAATCAAAATTATAAGTTAAAGTGGCAAGAAGACTTGAGTTGAGTTTGTTAACCTAGAAAAGGACTAAGTGATTATGAAGCCAAGAATGTCACCTTTATTGGGAACCTCAAAGGCAGGAATGTCGGGAATGGACTCTGACCGCCTACAGATGTGAGTAATGAGGACTGTGCAAAGGTCTAGCCCTCCCCAGTGACTGCACCTCCATCCTATCCCAGGTACGCTCTACCTGCCAGGGTGGTTCTGAAAATCTTCAGGCTGAAATCAGGCATGTCACAGTCTTTCACAAAGTGGTTCACAGAGCTTCCTTGAGATTTACATTTCTTTTTATGTCCTGGAGCACAAAACTGTAGTCTATGCAGTACCGGTTCGGGGATCCCAAGGACCTACAACCCCAGAATCTCCTTTTAAGAAAGCTTCCACCCAGAGACTGGAGAAATAGTACAGCAGGTAAGGCACTTGCCTTGTCTTACATGCACCAACCAGGGTTCAATTCTGGGCATCCTACATGGTGCCTTGAACATTGCCAGGAGTAATTCCTGAGTGCAGAGCCAGGAGAAATCCCTTAGCATCACTAGGTGTGACCGAAAAAAAAAAAGAATGCTTTCACCCAGGGGCTGGAGAAATAGGGCATTTGCCTTCACACAGTTGATCCGAACTTGATCCCTGGCATCCCATATGGTACCCCAAGGACTGCAAGAAAGTTCTTATGTCTAGGATGATGTCTAGCTGCCATTCTGCCCTGCTCACCTCTTCTGATTCACTGAGGTGTCTCTGGAAATCCTCCACCACAACCATGTCTTCCTCGCCACTCTCGTGGTGATGCAGCTGCACCCAGGTACGCAGCTGCTCAGGCAGGATGCTCAGGAAATACTCCAGCACCAATAGCTCCAGGATCTGCTCCTTGGTGTGTACCTCAGGCATCAGTCACCAGCGGCAGAACTCCTAAAGCCAGCTCAGTGCCTCCCTCAGCCCGGACGTCTCATGGTAACACAACTGCCTGAAGTGCAGCCGGCAAATTCCATAGATGGGAGGGTGGTTCCTCTGGAGACTGCAGCTTTGCCCCCCACGTCTGGCTCCCTGGATTTTTCTGGATGGCCAGGCTTCCTTCCTGTTTCTGGAGAACAACCCTTCTGGGGACGAAGCCTGACATTTCCCTGCCTTGGGTGGCCATTGTGGGCCCAAAGAGAAGGCTATCCCAGTTGTAGTTTGACCTGTAATTTGTGTTTCAGGAGTTGTCTTGCAGAACTGGAGGTAAGAAGTAGGGGAGTGTCACCTATGAAAATTTTGAGAGAAAAATGACCGTCACTGAAAGTGTTCAACTCGATGTTGATGATAGGCCTTCAACAGATAAAGAGCAAAGTTCCAGGTAGGAGAATAACCAGGGCTGGAGCTATAGGTTCAATCCTTAGCACCACATATGGCCCCTGAGCCTGTCAAGAGTGATCCCTGAGCACAGACCCAGGGGTAAACCCTGGGTATTACAGGGTATGACCCCAAAACAAAACAAAGAAAAACAACCAGAGGCTGAGACTGAAAGGGTAGAGCATGTACTATGCTTCATGTTGAGTATTGAAAAAGAAAAGTATATTTAACTGACAACAAACCTAAGTTGAAAGTGTATACTCAAAGCTCTTCTATTTTTCCCCATTGTGATACAGATAGAGAAAACTTGGGACTAAAATTCTAGAAACAAAGCTAGAAGTCATATATACTCTTTCCCTGTTTGGAATCAGTCTTCTCCAACTTTTCTGTTTGAGTAGGGTAGGTTTGGGCCACACACAGCACTGCTTGGGGCTTACTCCTGGCTCTTCACTCAGGGGTCACTCCTGGTCAGCTCAGGGATAATATGAGGTGTTTGGGATCACTTGGGTTGGCCACGTGCAAGGCAAAAGACCTACCTGCTATACAATTGGTCTGGCTACTCCTTACAATTTCTCACAAACTCCTGCTCATCTGTCAAGCTCCAAAACAAATACCATTTTTCTCTTGAAGGTTTTCCTGACTGCACCCTGCAGGAGAGAACTGGCAGTTTCCCTCTTTGTTCTTCTAGCTGACCTCTATTTATTTTTCATTAATTTGGCAGGGGAAGACCCAAGCAGTGCTCAGGAGATTGTGGGGTGGGGGCATCTGTGATGATTCAGCACAGGGGCCCAAGTATGCAATAATGGGACCTGAAAAATAGTGCAGTTTGTAGGGGAATTGCCTTGCAGAAGGCTGATCCGAGTGATTCCAAGCACTGCAGATGATACCCCAAGCCCTGCCAGAAGAGACCCCTGAGTACAGAGCCAACATGAAACCCTGAACACTGCCACATGTGACCCAATAATAACAGTAACAAAAATATTTAGAAAGAAATACAACTCGTTTGTCCGGCAGTGCCAGGGATACTTGGGCCACCTAGAGGTGCTCAGGGGTCTATAGGGCTGTTGTGCCCTAACCATTGTACTATCTCCTAAGACCCCATATCTCTATTCCATTTTTAAGACTTTTTACTGAAGTGCTTTGATGTACAATACTGTTATTTATGATCTCTTATGCTCATAATTCCAACACAAGACACATCACCAACGTACCCACTTTCCCCCCCAAGGACCCCAATGCCTCTCTCTTCCAACTTCCCACGCCCCCTAAATTCAATTGGGTAGATCAGTTCTGGAGTAATTATCTTTTAGTTCATTATAATCCATCATTTCACACTCTGGAAACTGCAAGAAAATCACTGAATGAACATAACACAATGAAGCAAAAAAAAAAAAAGCCACACACCTTTTCTGCTCAACCACCTCTGCCAAAAAATGTTGCCTCAGAGAGTCCATGAGAATCTTTTCCACTCAAACTTCTACTAGGGTACCAGTTGTCTGCAGACTGCAGGGTTGTCACCCCCACCTCCTATCCCCAGCATTATGCAGGCCTCAAAGGGCAGGAGGGTTCCCAGACATCTTTGTCCAGATGTGCAGGTACATGGCACAGAGCCACCTCCTTGGTAAATGAATGAATGTGGTTTATTTAAGTGGTACTGAAGTGGAGCAAAACTATTTATTCAGGAAGGGCACTTGCCCTGTGTGTGGCCAACCCAGTTTGATTTATAGTACCACAAATGAACAGTGCCAAGAGAGATGCCCTAACAGACACTGGAGTAAGCTCTGATCACCACCAGGTGACCTCCCAGTGGGCACCTCAAGTGATAGAAGGCATCAATGCAATTCTTTCAATTCATCATGTCCCTAAGTACCCTGCTTAGCTACTTCTCTGCAGGCCTTAATTTCCTCTTTTTCTTTCTTTCTTTCTTTCTTTCTTTCTTTCTTTCTTTCTTTCTTTCTTTCTTTCTTTCTTTCTCTTTCTTTCTTTCTTTCTTTCTTTCTTTCTTTCTTTCTTTCTTTCTTTCTTTCTTTCTTTCTTTCCTGTTTTCCTTTCTTTCTCCCATTGCCAGGGATGAACCCAAGGTATCACACATGCAAGGAATGTGCTTTACTGCTGAGCCACCTCCCCCCTTCCACGCCCCCCCCCCCCGCTCCCCCCCTGCAAGGCTCCATTTCATTAAAAGACAAGGATGGACTTAAAAAAATTTTTTTTTATTTTGCTCCAAGATGCCACACGTGTAGAGAGTGAAGACCATTTTCCTATTTCCAGCGCTCAGCGAGTGATCTCATCTGCACGTTGGCATCTCCCAGGATGACTTTCCACCTTTGAAAGTGCCAGACCGCTCGGCCCACTTCTGCCGCTCTGCACTGTCTCCCGGCGCAAGGTTGAAACAGGAGTCACGCGTGGGGCCAGGCTTCTGCTGCGCCCGCTCACCTGACCACGTCTAACTGCGCATCGCTGTGCCTGTCAGGGCTGGCGGGAACCAGGGGACGCAGGGGTGGCTTGATAGCGGGCGGCTTCTCTGTGACCCCAGAGCAGAGCCTGAACAGGCCTGCAACCTGGGGGGTCTCCAGCCTGCGACCCCCGACCCCAGCAGCTTTTGGAGATGCTGCTGCCCAGTGACGGAGAATGTGCTGCCCTCCCTCCCTCCCCTACCCAGGTACGCTCACCGGGGTAGCCAGCAATGACTGCTACACACCTGACACCACCGCAGCTCGGACGCAAGGCCGGGCGGAACCGAGAAGGGTACCGTTTCCGGTCCCGTTTCCAGTCTTGCTTCCGGGGCCCCTTGCAGGGACCCCTCCCCCCTCCCGGAAGTGTCTCCGGAACGAGGGAGCGCGCTCCCGCCTGGGTACAGTGGCAGTTGCATGTGGGAACCACCACACCTCAACCGTTAACGCCAGGACGAGGAGTCAACCACTCTGTGTGCTGGCACCTGGCAGTGTCTCAGACTGTTCAGAGTCCGGGCGACCCAGGTACATCTTACAGCTCTGTTCCTCCCCCTCCTAGTGATCTCAACAAAGATAGACTTTGAGTCCGTTGGAAAAATATCGAGCCTAGTGTGTGCATCTCAGAGCTATGATCACGGTATGGGACTTCGTATGGACACTGCAGAGCAAAAGGCTTGCTTTATCTTGTGCAGTCAGTTACTATTACTATTACTATTACTACTACTACTACTACTACTACTACTACCACCATCATCGTCATCATCATTATCATCATCATCATCATCATCATCATCATCATCATCATCATACTATAGTGTGATGCCCAGACTGCTTTCACTCCATCTGAGTCTCCAAGAAGTGAATTTACTCAATCTCTGTAAAGAAAAAGGTCCAGCGCTCATTCCATAGATCTTTCCATCCTCTCATTCATCGATTTGCTCAAGTGAGCACCAGTAACGTCTCCATTCTGAGAATTGTTAATTTTTTGGCATATCGAATACACCATGGGGAGCTTGCAAGGCTCTGCTGAGCGGGTGGGATACTCTCTGTAGCTTGCTGGGGTCTCTGAGAGAGATGGAGGAATCAAACAGGGGTTGGCTGCATGCAAGGCAAATGTCATACCCGCTGTGCTATCGCTTCCCCAACCCTATTCCACGGATAGGGTTATTAAATGCTCCTGAAATAACTCAACACTCTAGGGAGGGCCAAGGAAGCAATGAAAATAGGGAACACATATGGGGACTGCATAATCTAGAGGCAAAGTTTCTAGTCTATTATCTCAGAGGGTATGACATCGCCACCTTGAAAAGTGATTTGCATATAGAAGCAGGATATTCACAAGACCCTCGTCCTCGTGCCTCTTGAGTGTCTCTGCATGAGCCCTTTGGAGATGCTGCTGCTCAGTGATGGAGAATGTGCTGCACGTGCACAGTATCTGGGCTGGAACCCAAGCACCACCAAATAGAAAGAAGGAAAGAGGAGAGGGGAGTGCTAAGGACAAGAAAAGAAAGAGGTATCAGAAAACTTGCTGCAGAATTTTTATATGCTTAAAAAAAGTATCTGGTACTTATCTTTGCCCACAGAGTATGCTGAGCAGCTTTATTTCTTTTCACCTTACTTAAACACCATGGTTTATAACGTTCCTCATAATGCACCTGTTACAGGCATTTGATATCCCAACCCCAATCCTACCACCACCATGACCTTCCATCAACCATTGTCCCCATTTTCCCCAACCAGCCCTCAAGCCTACTCCCATAGCAGGCCAAAATAATTTATTTTATATTGCATATTACCACTAAATGACTAATGGACTTACCAAAAACATACTTCAGTAAAGGAAAATTTGTGAAAATTGTTAGATCTCTTTTTTCCCGCTCTGTAATGTAGAATTTTGCACAAAGGAGACAGTAGTCTGATCCCGTTTGAAATTTTGGGATAATAGTCATATTGGTCAGGCAAAACTGTCAATTGAATATGATGTGGTCAGTTTCATTGTGGAGCTGTCCACCAGGAGACTCCCATGTCCAACGTTAAGAGTCGGCCTTCTGGAAATGTGAGTTACCATGGATGGTCTTGATCGACATGATGAACTCAGTCAGTCTCTCACCCTGTTTGTTCCATCCTAGGCCATGGATCCTGATGTGGAGTTCTTTGGCTGATCTTCTCAGTCCTATCTTGGCATTAAAATCACTGATAATGATCTTGTAGAAGGTGTGGTCTTCTTTATAGAACTTCTCCAGGTCCATGTAGAACTTCTCAGTTTCTTCTTCATCGTAGTTGGATGTTGGTATGCAGACAATGAGATAGAAACTGCCGGCAGTGAGCCACATCTATTCATCTTCAAAGTTTAAGAAGA